TAACCATGATTAGGACATGTTCGTTTGCCGAATGGTCTTAATACATTAATTTAAGATGCTTTTTTAAAAACCTCAATACGACCATTTTTCACTGAGATAGATTATTCTGAAAAATCTATAAGAATTTGGAAACATTTTTTGACTATTTAATTTTTCCAAAAATAATGCTATTTTTTGATAATCGCAACCCGATATACTTAATTCAAAATGCATTGTGCTTCTGTAAAGTGTCAAAATACTTACATAATTTTTAAGAGATTCCAAGCGAATGAAAATAATTGCTTCATTATTAGTTTCCAGTGGAGTCTTGAATAATTATAAAAAGATCGAAACTTATCCGAAATGGTAATTAAAGATTATGTTTAACAAAAATAAATTATATCCAACGGAAAATCTTATGATATATTTATTAATTATTTCTACAGTACAATCATATGTTTAATTAAGCATACAAATATATTTCAGTGTATAGATCATAATCATCAAACACGATCCAAAATCACATCAGAAGCACACGCAGACTAAATAAGACCACAAGTCCAACGATCATTTTAGTTCTAAATCCAATATATATATATAGAACTTGAGACGTGGTCATTGTCGTCTAGACCAGTTAGGTGAAAAAACTAAAGCTTCCGCCTTTGTTGGGCACTTCGACAAAATTCAAGCAAGGAGGGCTCTTTATACTTTTTTAATCTCTCTAGCTTTCAATGGTCTTTGCCATCATCATCCGGAGCTGTAATAACATTGAGAAAAATAGCAACAATTGTGCAAAATGATTTGAGATTATCTATTATCGTATGTGAGGATGTATACAGGGTGACTTTGAAGTTGAGTCATTAATTTTCAGATAATGATTGTAGAAGGAAGATAAACCAAAATATGTGTGTAAAAATAAAAATAAAAATAAAAAAAAAATTTTACCTTGTTTTATAAAGTATCCTCCCGACAAGTATTTCAGTGCGGACCTGTATTTGATCGTGAGGTCCCCTGTGAGGTCTTAAGTTACCTGATTCACGAGCCCGTTGTACTACATTAACAAAGGCACGAGGGGTTGGTTGCACTCGATTGGGAAACCGATCCGCATAAACATGTGCCATTTTTTATTTCGTTTGAGCCACGCAACAGACACCACTATTCACACGCGTTACCGACTGACACTGACTGTATGTATACAACTGAATAAAATAAATTGTAAAAACATCGTTCCAAATTCTTTCGCTTTTTTGTTTCCGATGCGATGAACTGATAAGGCGGATTATATCCGTTGTTGCCAAACACGAGCACATGATATTATTATTGAGACAGGGCGGTACTCAAACTTCCAAAGGGCTACAACTTTGTTACTTTAATTTTACCAGAAAAATGGTAAAGGAAAAAAACATTTCTTTTGATCAGATCTACTCACTGTTAAAATAAATGACTCAACTTCGAAGTCACCCTGTATATGTAATTTTTTTGTATTGTCGTTCAACTTGCACCGTAGTAATTGCTGCGGAGTGTGTTTTACCACCGAATCGTACAAAGTGCGTCCTTGTCTCTTTAATGCATATGCGACGTCCATTGCGGTGACTGTCTCCTTTAGCGTGCTCGGTGTAAGTGACTGCATCCCTGATTACGTTTCTAAGAAGACTTTAAGCACTCCTCGAGTTTCTTCGTAAATCAATCCGGATATACGTTTCACTCCTCACGTCACGCCAATCTTCTTATGGCCGGTTTCGTAATTCCCTGGATGTTATCCCTTAAAACTTTACGATGCCTTTTCGCTCCTCCTTTTCCAATCCTTTACCACCTTTACCACGTCCAGTCATTTTTCAAGATTCTTTTTGCGGATTTTGCCCATTATTTTCCTACTTGTTGTTATATACCTTTCTCCGCATGATCATTTTCTCTTTATGGATTCTTTGGGCTTGAAGTACCACAGCAAGTGGCTATACCGGCCGCGTGGTTGTGGTTAGACGTTTCCTTGAAAATTCGAGGTCGTATAGCCATTTTATACTACAATGTGTAGGTTGGCTCTTGTTGTGGCCTTCGTGTGTCGTTTTTCCCCTCCAACTTCGTTTCCTCAGGTTACACCCGTATCCGGATGTGTGGGCATGTGTATCTACTTTTGTAGTTTCATATGTGCATTCATTTCGGGCCTGATGAAGCCAACCAGCAGAAATACGTATCGCTCGGGTTACCTATCCTATTTTCTGCTCGAATCCACTTTCCTCCTTTTTGCGGATTTTGCCCATTATTTTCCTACTTGTTGTTATATACCTTTCTCCGCATGATCATATTCTCTTTATATATATATACAGGGTGACTTTGAAGTTGAGTCATTAATTTTCAGATAATGATTGTAGAAGGAAGATAAACCAGAATATGTGTGTAAAAATAAAAAAAAATTAAAAAAAAATTTTTACCTGTTTTATAAAGTATCCTCCCGACAAGTATTTCAGTGCGGACCTGTATTGATCGTGAGGTCCCCTGTGAGGTCTTAAGTCACCTGATTCACGAGCCCGTTGTACTACATTAACAAAGGCACGAGGGGTTGGTTGCACTCGATTGGGAAACCCATCCGTATAAACATGTGCCATTTTTTATTTGTTTGAGCCACGCAACAGACACTATTCACACGCTAACCGACAGACACTGAGTGTATGTATAACTGAAATGAATAAAATACTTAATGCAAAAACGTTCCAAAATTCCTTTCGCTTTTTTGTTTCCGATGCGATTAAACTGGTAAGGCGGATTATATCCGTTGTTGCCAAACACGAGTACATTGTATTATTATTGAGACAGGGTGGTACTCAAACTTCCAAAGGCTATAACTTTGTTACTTTAATTTTACCAGAAAATGGTAAAGGAAAAAACATTCTTTTGATCAGATCTACTCACTGTTTAAAATAAATGAATCAACTTCGAAGTCACCCTGTATATATAATATGAATTCTACCAAATTTAAAACATACCCAAAACGAATTAATTTAGGACATAAAAAATCAGTACGTCATATGACTAAATTATTTGCTATCACTAAACCAAAACATACAATCTTTTGTATTTCAAATACTTCAAGTTTGAGTTATTATCTCTCAGGCCGAAGCACAAGTTATTATTACATTACATTTTGTATTTTAACCAATAAACATTATATTATCATTAACAACTTCACGATTTTTGGCGTTTTTTGAGCATTCCAAAATATACTTTATAAGCATTTTAGTGTTGAAAAGGGCGTTTTGTTAGCAATGACATGTCTGTATGGAAAAATAAGAAAATAGGTTAACGCTCATTTTTCGCTGATAAAAATAGATGCGAGACCTTTTTATTTTTATTTTCACCAAATAATTTGTCCCGTCACAATTTTCATGTATTAATTACGCTTCATTGTAGATTGTGAAATTCTGTAAAATAAATGTCCAATAGGGACGCAGGAAAGTAAACGTCAATTTGACATAGACGCCATCTTTGTTTTCTGTCACCGACATGTCATTTTGTTAGTTGAATATTTACCATTGATCGCTATGGAGTCGTATTCGATTGAAAAGACCGCATTAAAGTTATTCAAGAGCACTACAAAAATGGTGCAAAAATAAAAAACACGTTTCGCGCGCTTCGTGAACATTTCGGTCGCAACAACCGCCCAAACGAAACAACCATCGGTCGTCTGGTGCGTAAATTCGAGGCAACAGGTTCTGTGGCAAATCTGCCAGGCTCTGGCCGGCCAAGGAGCGTTCGCACACCGGAAAATATTGCTGTTGTGAAGGAGAGTGTGAGAGACGATCCGAAACAATCAACAACGCGTCGATCCCAAGAATTGGGCATTTCGAGAACCAGTTTGCTCCGCATTCTCCACAAGGATTTGAATGTACACGCCTACAAGATACAATTGACGCAAGAGCTGCGTCGGGCCGACCATTTTTCGCGCCGAACGTTCTCAGGTTGGCTCCTTGAACACCGCCAAATTGATGCCAATTTTTCATCAAAAATCATGTTCAGCGACGAAGCGCATTTCACTTTGAATGGGACGGTATACAAGCAAAACTGCCGCATCTGGGCGAACGAAAATCCCCGTGAGTATCAAGAGCAGCCGATGCATCCTCAAAAAGTGACTGTGTGGTGTGCATTGTGGTCAAAAGGCATCATCGGACCTTACTTTTTCGAAAATGCGGCCGTGGACGCCGTTACCGTCAATTCTGAGCGATATCACGTGATGATAGAGGACTATTTTTTGCCGCAACTTGAAGGAATGGATATGGACGATGTTTATTACCAACAAGACGGTGCAACATGCCACACAATCAACGTCAATATCCATCGATTGCAGTCCTTCTTCGGTGATCGCGTGATTTCGCGCAGAGGAAATGTGCCATGGCCACCAAGATCGTGCGATTTGACTCCCTTGGACTTCTTTTTATGGGATATTTGAAAAGCAAAGTCTACGTCAACAAACCGGCCACCCTCCAAGAACTCAAAAACAACATCATTGCCGAGATAAATGCCTTAGAACCGACCATGTTGCAAAATGTCATTGAAAATTTCGACCATCGCGTGGACGTCTGTAAATCCAGTCGTGGTGAACATTTGAGCGATATTATTTTCCATTCATAAATGGTATAAATGAACCTTCAAAATAAAGTACCCAACTTGATTTGAATATCAATCTTTCTTGTTTTAATATGCGTTTACTTTCCTGCGTCCGTTTTGGACAACGCTTATAATACTTTCTTTATTACAGATATAAGGAATTCTATGGACTCGTTTCAAATCTAACAGCATGGCAAGTTGATGACCTTCACTACTTCGCCCAACTGCAGAGTATATTTTACGTTTACAAAGAAGCCAATCCTAGCTATCTGCCCGATTGGCATTTGCTCGTCGACCCCGACGATCTAGAATATCTAGCAGCCCTGCATTACTCCAGAATAAGTTTCAACCCGGAGCTGGCTAAGCTGTCAACCGGCATCTTCTTCAGCGAGCTTTTACAACACTTCGATCAAGTGATATCGCCCAACGACTACAACAGAAATTGTACTTGATATTCGGCCACGAGGAAAATCTGGCTGCCATTTTGAACAGCATGGGGGTTTTCGAATACAGGGTGCCCAAATTCGCGAGTGCCATAATATGGGAGTTATACGAAGCCGAAGGAAGGAATTACGTACAGGTTTCGTACAGGGAAAGCGATGATTATACGAAAAATTTGACGTTGGCGGGTTGTGATACGAGATGCGATTATGACTGGTTCAGGAATAAACTGGAGCCCATTCTGATGGCTCAGAGAGATAGGAAAAACGCATGTGATATAAAAGAAGACTGAAGCTGACATAGGAATAGGGAAGATACAAAATGCTATTTATTTATATTGCCACAAATGGATCTTTATGAATATACAGGGTGTTTCAGTTTATTGTTGCATAACTTTAAGATACGATAGAGCTTTTTAAATTAATGCATAAAGTCTATATAATCATGGGTCGATAAATGCGTGGCTTCTGAAATACAGGGTGTTTAAATTTACTTTCTAAAATAGTTTTTCTTAAATATTTCGAACAATATTTTGATGTATAATAGTGAAAGGGTTTTTTGGTACGACAAAACGAACCATGGGCATAGTTTTACTGTAGCCGCTAGAGGGCGCTCTCTACTGTACCTGTAGTGTATTAAAATGACCGAAATTTTTTTCTTAGTGCAATTTTTTGCTTTCTGAATATAAAAACTGATTCTTCGCACTTTTCAACATAAAAAAGATCTCTTGTGAATTTTCGTTATAGTTAGCCGTTTTTGAGATATTTCGATTTTTAAGGTTCGATGCATTTTTAATTATTTATGATAAAATAACGTTAAAAAGTCAGTATCTCGATAATTTTTAGAAGTAGGCTGTGCCTGCAAATATTTTGAAATTGAAGGCAGAATAAGGTTAAACGTCAATTAGTTGACAGTTAGTTTTGTTGTCCGTTGAAACCTGAAACGTTTTTTTGCAATTGTGAATGCATGAAATTTAGTTTCTTTTACCTGTTTTTTTTGAGAGCTTTTTTATGTTGGAAAGTGCGAAGAATCAGTTTTTTTATTCAAAAAGCAAAAAATTGCACTAAGAAAAATTTTTCGGTCATTTTAATACACTACAGGTACAGTAGAGAGCGCCCTCTAGCGGCTACAGTAAAACTATACCCATGGTTCGTTTTGTCGTACGAAAAAACCCTGGTATATCAAATTTCACTGTTATACATCAAATATTGTTCGAAATATTTAAAAAAAAACTATTTTAGAAAGTAAATTTAAACACCCTGTATTTCGGAAGCCACGCATTTTTCGACCCTTGTTTATATAGACTGTATGCATTAATTTTAAAAGTTCTATCGAATTTTAAAGTTATGCAACAATAAACTGAAACACCCTGTATATAATACACTCCTAGTTTATAGGCCTTGAAATTTTGAAAATAATATATTTGTATAAATACACATTACTAACTAAAAAATCAAAAGACTTTGCTAATTAATTAAGATCACTCATAGGCTCTTTTGTACATATTCAAATATTTCAATATTCAGCTTAATTGGTGTTAATTTTGATAAAAAACGAAAAAAATGAAATATCCAATACGGTCCTGGATTTTTTAACCGTGTCTCTAGACATGCGTTATGCCTGAGAGTTGTGATATTAAAGGTTTGGCGTGTTTAAATAAAAAAATGAATCTAACACTACTTTATTTTCGTATTCCTACCATTCCACTATAGTATTGATTCCCAAAGTGGTCTATATCGACCCCGAGGGGTCTATGCAAACCTGCAAGGGGTCTACGTCAGCGAAAAAAAATTTGGGGGTCCATGAAATGAATATGGGGGTCCACGATAGTGGATCTCAACACATACACTGATATTACCTATTTATTTACATCATACTATCTTATAATATCAAAACATATACATTATTTATAAAAGTACCTAGGAAGTAAAAAATTTATTATATATGTTTATAAAATTGTGTAAACTGCAAGATCATCTGAGAAGATACCACCCCGATAGAACAGAGAAAGATTTGAAATACTTTCAAACTCTCAAAGATAAATTGCAGAAGAGACCTACACTGGGCAGAATGTTCGCTTCGACGTCACAAAGAAATGATGATGGTTGGCGGGCGTCTTACAATATCTCGTTACTTATAGCAAAATTCGGAAAACCACATACTATCGGAGAGAAGTTAATTTTGCCAGCCGTTGAACAGGTTTTAAAAACTGTTTTACACAAACCTGCACCTGATATCATTAAAAGAATTCCCTTAAGCAATAATACTGTTGAAAGACGTATTGATGAAATGAGTTCTGATATTGAAAGCTTCTTATGTAATTATTTGCAAACGACCCATTTCTCTATACAACTGGACAAGTCAACTTTACCTGATAATGCAGCGTTATTATTGGCATATGTTCGTTTTATTATGAATCAAGAAATCTACGAAGAAATGCTCTTCGCAAGAACTTTGATAACCGACATTAAAGGTGAATCAATATTTCATATTTTGAAGGATTACTTCATTGAAAAAGCAATTCCTTTATGAAATATAATAATCAGTAGCTACAGATGGAGCACCTGCCATGGTGGGACGTTATCGTGGATTTATAAGCTATTTAAAACAAAATGTGTCAGGGGTGTTAGCAATACATTGCGTCATCCGTCGATAACATTTAGTTGCTAAACATTTGAGTGTTAGATTGCATGAATCACTTCATTTAGTCATTGATGCAGTAAACCGAATCCGAAGCAACGCGTTGAATACGCGATTATTTGCGCAGTTGTGTGAAGAAAATGATGAACACTTTCATCGATTACCCCTTCACACTGAAGTACGCTGGCTGTCGAAAGGCTTATGTTTGACAAAATTTTTTGCACTTTTTGAGACTATTTTAGAATTTCTGGATACTAAAGATAAAATTTTAAAAGAAAATTTTATGAAGAGGAAAATAGACATCGCCTATTTAACAGATTTGTTTACAAAATTTAATATGGTTAATTTGCAATTACAAGGCGACAGTTTAAATTTGATTAAACAAAGTCCATCTTATCAGCGTTTCTTGCCAGAGTTAAACTAATGAAGCAAAATATTGGACTGGGCGAATTTTCTCAGTTCCCCAATTTGAAACAGACAAGCTGCCAGGAAGACGACGTTTCAACTTACGTTCAACATTTAAATGCCCTCTATTCAGATTTTGAATCTAGGTTTGAGGATATTTTGACTATGGTAATACCACCGTGGATAATTAATCCATATGGTGACATAGAAGAAACGAATGTCATAATACAAGAGGAACTGACTGAACTAAGTACACACGAAGAACTTAAGGTTCAGTTTAAAAACGGATATCAGCAATTCTGGCTGCAAAACAACATACCCGTTACTTATCCCGTATTATGGAATATAGCGAGGACATTTTTAATTTCCTTTCCATCGTCATACCTAGTGGAAAGGGGGTTCAGCGCTGTTACCAATCTCCTAACGAAAAAAAGAAACAGACTGGACATCATTAGCCGAGGAGATTTAAGATTAACCCTTACAAAATTGACGCCAAATGTTGATAATTTATTATTAAAGCATCAGGTTCATCCTTCTCACTAAAAATATTGAATTATTGCTTATGTTATTTTATTTATAGTTTATTTTATGTCTATTGGTGTCTGACCAATAAATGCCCGCATTGAGAATAAGTGCCCGCATTGATTGTTTCAAAGAACCCCCCTTTATAGAAAATATTTTTTTATAAAATTATTCTGAAAATTCAAGGAAGGTACACACTAAAATTAGTTAATTTTTTGCCTATTTTTAGATAACTTAAACGTATAAGAAGCGGAATTTAATCAAACTAACAGTGAAATTATTGTAGATCATACGTTTATGTTATAATTAATAAACGAACTCGCTTATTGTACTATTTTAAGTAAAAAACATTTTTTTTATTATTTTTCACTTTTTTTTATTTTATCCCTCAAATTTTTTTTTCAATGCGGGCACTTATTCCCAATGCGGGCACTTATTGGTCAGACACCTGTTTATTTAATGTTACGTACCTATATTTTACATAACAGATACAAAATTTTATTTTGAGGAGTTTTAATTTAAATTCAATTAATAAATGTATAAATTAACATGTGTTTTTACTTTAAGTTTTTAACACTAAACTTCACTACAGTTAGAAATTTACAGGAAATCAATATCAGGTAAGTAGGGGGTCTACCTAACACGGAAAAACATGGCAAGGGGTCTACGACACAAAAAAGTTTGGGGAACTCTGCACTATAGTCTAATCATATTAGACGAAAATACCCCTGGTTTGCGAGATAATTGTAAAGTCCGGTGTTATCGTCGTAAGTTGTTCAAGGGGGTATTCGAAACATGGACGCATAAAATGGGTAAACCAATTTTTGCGGGTAAACCTTTTTTTCGACAACAAAGAATGAGAAAACGTGTTTTTTGGGATTCAATCGAAAGTCCAGGCATACCGAGGCAAACTGCAGGTTCTGGCACTTGTTGGTAATGCGACGATGGTTTCTCGCAAATATTTGAAATTCTCCAGATTCGTAGGATTCGTACTTCTTAATAACCACAACAAAATTGGAGTAGATTGGTCAAGTAGTTTTGAGAATTTTTAATTGGTTATCCCAAAGCACCTGTTTTCAGGTCGTCACTACTAGTTATTGAGCAATATACAGAGTTGGTTCAAAGGGCATTTTATAGGAAAACACACTAGTTTATCTTGCCAATATATACTAAGTGACATATAAATCCGAACACCCAGTTTAAATGGTTTTATTTTAATAAAATTTTGTATAAGTACTTAATGAAGCATAATAAGTCAATGATAAAAATTTCAAAATGATTGCACTGCTTTAAAGCCCTTTGACCTTTAATAATGTGTGGATGCACGCTGATGTGCTACGCATTCTCCAACGCGCCTAGGCATGCTTCTGATCAGGTGGTCAATGTCCTCCTGTGGTATCTCATTCCAGGCAACCACCAACTCCTCTCGAAGTGCTTCTAGAGTCTGAGGAGGACGTTGCAAATTGAGCAATCTCCTACCCATCATGTCCCACACGTGCTCAATTGGGCATAAGTCGGGAGATCTTGGTGGCCATGGTAACAATGTGACAAGAAGTCTATTGTGACTCTTGCAACATGTGGTCGGGCATTATCTTGTTGGATAGTTGGATCTGCCAGGGTGTCAAGATAGGGTAAAAGATGGGGTTCTAGAACTTCGTGGATATGACGCTGCGCGTTCATGTTACCTCTGATGAAGATTAAAGGTGACCTGGAACCATAAGCTATAGCACCCCAAACCATAACTCCAACAGTGTGATGAACATGTCTTTCAACAAAAAACTGTGGATTCCTCCTTTCACCACGTCGCCTTCTAACCCTATCACGACCATCGTGCATGCCTAAACAAAATCGAGACTCGTCACTAAAGACAATACTATTCCATTCCTGATCCCAGAGTCCCGTTGTCTGCACCACTCAAGGCGATTACGTCGGTGTTCTCGAGTTAAAGGGAGGACCCAGTGTGGCCGGTATGAAAACAAGCCAAAACTTCTCATTCGTCGGTAAACACTTCGCATGCCAATAGGTCTTCCGTGTTCTGCAAACCATTCATTTGCAATGGACCTGGTAGTGAGAAGAAACGGTCCCTTAAGTCCAATAATCTTAGGCGGCGATCTTCACGGTCTGCTGTTCTACGGCGGCGTCCAGTGCCCCTTGCTCTTTGCGTGCGGCCTTCTCGAAGCCATGCCTGACAACACCTAACCACAGTGTCTACATTTCTTTGCACTCTAACTGCAATTGCCCGAAAAGAAAGTCTCCCGAAGTCCCACTATACGGCCCCTATCAAACTCACTAAGTTGACGAAATCGTACAGCTCTCCGTACTCTAGGCATCGTAACCGATCGTAAAGGATGTCAAGAACCAAAATCCGCCAACGTTGATTCTTTACTGCGGCTGAAATATTCATTTTTAGAGCGTTAGTGAATTAAAAAAAAGCAGTATAAAAACCGGAATGTCCAACTGATAAGGCTGAAAATTTGTTAACTTGTTATTTACAGTAAGATAAATACATTCACCAACTTTTATTAAAATAAACCATTCCGGAAGAAAAATGTTATTTTTATGCAAAAAAGTGTAGATTACGTTTCTTCTAAACAAATTCAAACATTTCGTATTTGTGAGTAATTGAACAAAAGCGCTACGATTATATATATATATATATTCGCAACAAAGATGATATATATATATATATATGATCGTAGCGCTTTTGTTCAATTACTCACAAATACGAAATGTTTGAATTTGTTTAGAAGAACAAATCGTAACGTTTGTTTTTCGCATAAAAATAACATTTATCTTTCGGATTTATATCGGCAAGGTACCCACCCCCTTGAACAATTTCCACCAATAAAACAAGTCTTAACAATTATTTCGGGGATATTTGCTACTATGTTCATTTAAGAACGGAAGACCTTGTATACATATTGATCTGCGTCCATACTCGTACGTAAATCAGATAATGTCAAAATATTAATGAATTTTCTGTTTACATTTACGATTGATGACGTTTAGTACTGGTAGAAAAATCGACGATTCATAAACGAAAGACAATATTATCGGAAAAGAACCCATTGACCTTTATCTTACGTATAGAGAATGGAAATACGCACCATACGTATTTTTCAAATTATACTGATACACATGTGTAGTGTGATACTCAATTGTGTCGCAATGCGTAGGGGGTAATGATTCAATCACTTTTACGGGCAAATCGCAACATCTTGTACAGTTCAATGCTTCCAAGACACAGTACTGTACCTGACGAACAAAAAGCGTCCTAGCGCTCATACAGTTTCGATGGACGGTCGAGTTCTACCAAAGAGCCATTCATTTCGGCTGGTCGGAGTCCAGATCACCGAGGACCTGATCTGGCACGAACACATCTCTTCAATAGCTGCAGCTGCTGGGAAAAAGCTAGGCTATTTGTTTAGGGCTAAGAAGTACTTTTCTCCGCATGACCTTCTCACTCTATACAAGGCCCAGATAAGGCCTAGCCTCGAGTATTGCTCACACATTTGGGGTGCTGCCGCCCCGACTACATTGTCCATGCTCGATGCTGTCCAGAGGAGGGCGGTCCGACTGATCGATGACTCTTCTCTAACAGACAGTCTCGGGACTCTTTTGCACCGGCGGGCCGTCGGCGATCTAGCTCTTTTCTATCGCTACACCAACGGGCTTTGCTCCTCAGAGCTCTCTTCCATGATGCCGCCGCGCGATGCGCCTGCCAGACAGACCCGCCTGACTTCGGCATCCCATCCTAACCGTGTCAAACTTCGTACATCCAGAACTGGCCGATACGACCGCTCCTTTGTCCCGAGGGTGTCTAGATTGTGGAACAATCTACGGGAGGAAGCTTTGGGATCATCATAGCAGCCGCGGTGTTCCGGCATTTAGGCTTCTGCCTGCGCGGCTGTTTCGATATAAAAAAAAAATGGGCATTAAGGCGGCTCCGACGCAGTCAGTTTCACGCTATTTACAAGGGTTCAACACTGAAACTGACACTCCAATTTTCATTATTTTTGAATTAAATATGGTCAGGACTAGAACTGCCCAGGGTGGTATCGGAGCGCTTTTCGAAATTTTGTCTTTACACAAGATTTATGAAGGATTGAAATGCTTATTCTTCTTGCCGATGTTTTTAAAAAGAGCCAAGAGGAAAAAAATGAAAAAGTGGCTCGATAGCACACTGTACGGTTTTGTTTTCAGCACACTGTAAGAATTTCATTCGGAAATATTTAAAAATGAAGCGTCAGTTTGAAAGCGCGCAAACCTCTACAAATCGGATTTTGCACGAACCTTGTCTATTGTTCGTTCTGCCAACCAAAGCAACGCGGCGGTATGTACGGACTAAGAAAGGACGTATTCAGATAATTTGGTGGCCCTATTTCATATAATATCGTGTACATGTTCCCAGCAGTCTGTATAATACGGTATTCTATATAATACCTAGGTAATGTATAGACTACCTAAAACGTGTAGGTCATGTATGAAATATCATTTGTTTTATACTTTGCCTAGGTATTCTATACAAAACCGATTGCGCAGCCGGTAGTGTATGTAAAAGACGAGAACAAGGAAGATTTTGTGCACATCAAAATGTCACAATAGTTCCTCATGTAAAAATAAATAATTTTTTCACTTCATTAAAATTTTGACTAGGCAGTAAACCTACTTATTATGCTAAGTGACATATAAATCCGAACACCCACTTTAAATGGTTTTATTTTAATAAAATTTTGTATAAGTACTTAATGAAGCATAATAAGTAAATGATAAAAATTTCAAAATGATTGCACTGCTTTAAAGCCCTTTGACCTTTAATAATGTGTGGATGCACCCTGATGTGCTACGCATTCTCCAACGCGCCTAGGCATGCTTCTGATCAGGTGGTCGGTCAATGTCCTCCTGTGGTATCCCATTCTAGGCACCCACCAACTCCTCTCGAAGTGCTTCTAGAGTCTGAGGAGGACGTTGCAAATTGAGCAATCTCCTACCCATCATATCCCAGACGTGCTCAATTGGGG